TATTTTCTATATAATTTCAGTTTTAGTATTTACAGGAATCCAGTTTGTTTTTCTAATGGATAATTTTTATAACTTCATTTATTAAATTATTTAACTTTTCCTCAATGATCTGAACTGGCTTTTTTCAAAGATGACATTTCCACATATAAGTGGGCTTATTTTTGAAATCTCTCCTGTTCCACTGTTTATTCTTACATCACTTCTAAACCTTTTAAATTAGCATAGCTTTATAATACACTTTTAAAATGATCTATTTTATATACAAATATTGCATATTATATGATATGAAGTAGGTTATATTTTTCATTATCTGCAAGATTTGTCTCCTGTGGTGATCATACTTTGTCGGCATAACGAAGCTGGAACTATATTTGTCAGAATTACTTTCTCTGTACAGTTCTGAGTTAGGGTTCGCTACCAAAAGCATACATATAATGTGGAGGAAAAAAAGCATGAGCCATTATGCTCTCAGGGGCAGTGCAGGGTTGCCACGTGCTGTTAAAAGTTATGCATATTGTCAGTGATTACCTGGCTCACCTTGGAGGTGTGGGCAGCTGCCAAACCTGTGGTTTTTTGCAGTTACTACTGGAGCTCCTCATCAATTTCTCCAATTTCCAAGACAGGCTTGTATAGCCCCATGGCAGAAGGTGCCAAGCACTTCTGCAAGTCACCTGCTTATCAACACTGGAGGAAGTGAGACAGATGTGGGATCGTTTGTCCTGTGACTTCTCCAGTTTGTCCTCATTCTCCTTTGCTTCACATCTGCCTTTCTTTCCCCAGCTCCTAGCCACACTGTCCTATAGACACTTTATACCTTCCACCTTATATTTTGTGCCAGGTATAATTCTAAGGGCTTTGCTGTATTAATGCTCATAATAACCCTTTTAGGTGATACTATTATTAATTCCTCTTTTACGGATGATGAAACTGAGGTAGAGAAATGAAGTAATTTGTCCAAAGTCACACAACTATTAAGAGAAAGAGTTGGGAAAAAACAGATAAGTAAGAATACATGGTTAGATGTCTTTAATGTCTGCTTAACTTGGGTATATACAGACAAGACATATCTATTAAATCTGTGCATGACACAAAGCTGGAATAGATAATACATTAAATGAAAAACTCAAGGGTTCAAAAATCTTTCAATAAATTAGAATATGTTAAGCCTACCAAAATAAAATTTAATGAGCAATGAAGGGAAAAGGTAATTAAATTTCAGAAAAGCTAATCATACCAATGTAAGAGAGAAAATAATTATCTTAGTTCATGTTTAAAAGAAAAAAGACCTATAGCAAAATTGCAAGATATATTATCATGGCTACCATAAAACAGAATAACAATACTATCTTCATGTATAAGTATGGCTCAGTTCCTTTGCTGTCCATTTGAAATAATCAGAAAATTATCAATCAGCTATACTCCAATACAAAATAAAAAGTTTAAATAAATAAATGTTTTTAAAGAAAAAATATAATAGTATCTTGCACTAATGAAGGTGTAATGAGCAACTCAGTGACTGGTACTCTGCACTGGTTTATTCACATCTGATACGGTGTTCAGTCTAGGAAACCATGGACTCATTCTCCAGAGACACCAACCAGAATGGTATCAGAAACAAATAATTCAGAAACTTGTCATCTTTAGCCAAAATATACAAATATTTTTAGTTTACATCCATGTAGAAGACTCCATATTTCCAAAGGGTAAAGCATGGAACATAGAATGGAAATCACAGTGAAATAGATTTTTAACTCAATATAAGACAGATGCTTCTAGTAAAGATAATTCAAATTGGAAAAGTTAAACTGTCACTGTTTGCAGATGACATGATACTATACATAGAAGATCCAAAGGATGTTATCAGAAAACTACCATCAGAGCTCAGCGCTCTGGAATGAATTATCAGAGCTCAGCAATGAATCTAGTAAAGTTTCAGGCTATAAAATTAATACACACGAATCTGTTGTATTTCTATAGATTAACAATGAAAGATCAGAGAGAGAAATTCAAGAAGCAATTCCATTTACTATCATTCTTTGCATCACAAAGAATAAAATATCTAGGAATAAACCTACCTAAGGAGACAAAAGACCTGTACTCTGAAAACCATAAGATGCTGATGAAAGAAATCAAAGAAGATATAAATAGATAGAAAGATATACCATGTTTGTGGATTGGAAGAATCAGTATTGTCAAAATGACTATACTACCCAAGGCAATCTAAGAGTTAATGCAACCTCTATCAAATTATCAGTGGCTTTTTTCACAGAACTAGAACCAAAAAAAAAAATCTCAAAATTTGTAATGGAGACACAAAAGACCCTGAAGAGCCAAAGCAATCTTGAAGAAGAAAAATGGAGCTGGAGGAATCAGGTTCCCTGACTTCAGACTGTACTACAAAGCTACAGTCATCAAAACAGTATGGTACCACATAAAAATAGAAATACAGATCAATGGAATAGGATAGAAAATCCAGAAAGAAGGACATGTACCTAGAGTCAATTCATCTATGACAAAGGAGGCAAGATGATACAATGTTGGAAAGACAGTCTCTTCAACAAACGATGCTGGGAAAAGTGGACAGCCACATGTAAAAAAAAATGAAATTAGATCATTCCTTAACTCCATACACAAAAAGAAGCTCAAAATGTATTAAAGACCTAAATGCTAGACCAGACACTATAAAACTCTCAGAGGAAAACAGGCAGAACACTCTCCAACATAAATCACAGCAACATCTTTTTTAATCCATCTCCCAGAATAATGGAAATTAAAGCAAAAATAAACAAATGGGATCTACTTAAACTCAAAAACTTTTGCACAGTAAAAGAAACAATAAACAAAATGAAAAGACAACCCACAGACTGACTGGGAGAAAATATCTGCAAATGATGTGACTGATAAGGGATTAGTCTCCAAAATTTACAAACAGCTTATTACATTTAATAGCATCACAAGAAGAAACTCACTCAAAAAATGGGTAGAAGACCTGAATATACATTTCTCTAAAGAGGACATACAGCCAGCCAACAGGCACATGAAAAGATGTTCAACATTGCTAGTTATTAGAGAAGTGCAAGTCAAAACTACAATGAGATATCATCTCACACCAGTCAGAATGGCTATCATCAAAAAATCCACAAACAACAAATGTTGGAGAGGGTGTGGAGAGATGGGAACTTTCCCACACTGTTGGTGGGAATGTAAATTGGTACCACCACTATAGAGAACAGTACAGAGGTTCCTTAAAAAACTAAAAACAGAACTACCATATGACCCTGCAATCCCACTTCTGGGCATACATCCAGAGAAAAACATGGCCCCAAAAGATACATGCACTTCAACGATCCTGCAGCACTGTTTATAATAGCCAAGACATGGAGACAACCTCAACGACCATTGACAGAGGAATGGATGAAGACATGGTACATATAGACAGTGGAATATAACTCAGCCTCCAAAAAGAATGAAATAAGGTCATTTGCAGCAACATGCGTGGACCTAGAGAGTGTCATATTGTGTGAAGTAAGTAAGATAGAGAAGGAGAAATATATGACATCCTTTATATCTGGGATCTAAGAAGAAATGATACAAATGAACTTACTTACAAAACAGAAACAGACTCTCAGACTTGGAAAACAAATTCATAGTTGCTGGCGGGGTGGGGGTGAGGGGTGGGGTGGAGAGAAAGCTAAGGATTTCAGGAAGGTCATGTACACACTGCTAAATTTAAAATGGATAACCAGCAAAAACCTATTGTATAGCACAGAACTCTGCTCAATGTTATGTGCCAGCCTGGATGGTAGGTTTGGGGGAGAATGGATAGATATATATGTATGGCTGAGTCCCTCTGCTGTTCACCTAAAACTATCACAACACTGTTAATCAGCTATATCCCAATACAAAATGTTTTGGTGTTAAAAAAAATAAAATTAAAAACAGGAATGTGCTTCTAATATTAGTAATAAAAGCTTCTGAACAATGCAATGGGTTAGCCTTATAAGGCAGTGATGTGCTTCATCATCTAACGAGAGTAACACAACACCTTATGGCATACTGTTCTTTATGCTGTGAAGAGATCTGTAGCATTGGGAATGTCCATATAGAGAGAGGAGGAATGGACTGCAGTGGTGTTTGTTGGATCTCTAGAGTTTTTGCAGCTCAAAAAATTTCTTCTGATTCTAAGCATAAAGACAGCAACTGAATTTGAGGAAGGAAAATAAGCAGTTTATTTTTACCTGATAACAAAAGCAAAACCAGAAAAGGATCTAAAAGAATAACACCAATACGGTACATCACAGTATACATTTTGATGTTGTTGAAATACAATTAAGACATTCATCTCTCTCTATATATATGTGTGTGCACTTAATAACCTACTTAATATTATACTGTGAAGAGTCTATAATATCCATTGTGGATGTGCAATAATTTATATTTAACTTTCCAACTAATACTAACCCAACAGTAACTTTTTATAAACATCCAATAAACATTCATGTACATAAACTTTTTCCATAGCCTTGACTATATAAGCATATTGATGTATTCTTATATAGCTTTCCAGAATTCTGCCATTATATTCAAATTCTGAATTTTGAGATAGATAGGGTAAAAAAGCACATAAGCAAAATACACAGGTGCACACATGCTAAACAATTTCTGCCCCAGAGATTCTGATACCAGTGAAAACAGACACACCATAGTAAGTTGGTCTTGATTTTATGCATTTCTTTTTTAACAGTAAATTTGTTAAGAAGACAATGTTAATGCACAGTAAAGAGCTAAAGACAAAATAAAGGTACTCTTATTTGACAAAATAAGAGTCTAAGTTATTCTTCCATGAGATGAAACTAAAAATTGAAGACTCAACTACACAAGGCTTCACTATATATTTGGAATAAAATTTACTGGAATAAAACATAGTCACAATTGATCATAGAGTGACCACATAGCAAAACCAGCCTACAGTTTAAAAAATTTTTACAGCATCTACTTACTTTAATGTTTCAGCAAGAAAGAAGCTCTGCTGTACATCATCATGCGTAGGAGTAGAGGAGTACACATCCTTCACCCCAGAAAATCCGCCACTGACTCGGCAGTACTTTTCAATAGCCTGTGAAAGAGATCAGACAAGAGTCAGTTCCATAGAATTTCAAGTTTTGAAGGACAAGTTAAAGAACCATAGTCAAAAGAGAGTCTCTATGAGAAGTTTACAGTTTCAGAATAAGACTTTTTAAATCAAATGGAAATAGCCTTGCACTGGAAAAATTAACTGAAGCATCCTGTTTGATGTAGAATGTCTCTCTCTCCAAAACTCTTTAATCTTTTTAAGACATTTTATATTTTCCTAACTTAGGAGTCAAATTTAATCTATTCACACTGAGTTAGATCTGTCTGGTACAATAAAACCTCATTAATTCTGACAAATCAAGAGGGAAGTCAGTTTGAATTAAAAATTTTAAATGCAATTTTATCACTTCCAAGGATAAACAATTCAAATCATGCTAAAAGGTGTATTACTGAAGGAGCTCTCCACAGCAACAGCAATATGATATTTACTATAAACATACTATATGCCAGACAGTGTATTATCATAATCCTATGAATTAAGCATTATAGTTGGTATAAACCGGCAGGAAGAGCCCACCCTCACACCTATTACAATAATACTCACAAATATTGAGAGCTAACAATCATTAAGAATTTACTATGTGCTGAAGGCTTTTCTAAGAGCTTTAAATCTATTAACAATTAAATTTCTAACAACCCTATGAGGCTATCTTAATAGCTTTACTATTCAGATGGGAAAACTGAGGCAAAGAGTAATTTGCTCCACATTATTATTAACGACTATGTTCTACTGCCCAAAGGGGAGTTTATATTCTTAATTTATCTTTCTTCATCTTTGAACCTGTCTGAATAAAATATTCTGAATTAGAATCTATTCAAAACCCTGTTAATTTAAAACTATCAAGCATTCTGCTTTTGTAGGTGTATTACACTTTACAATTAAGGCATACAGAAAAAGTTGAAAGCGTGTATGGTTTTTTCTTTCTCTACTCCACCTAACCCAGAGAAGCTGAATGAAGGCATGGTTATTTTACTCATCCTTAACAGTAAGCTGTGGCTTACTGTTTCTAGCCTTGCTACTTTTCTTACTTATCTGGTCTTCCTCCTTTCTGAAGAAGAGCTAATTAACACTTAAGACTATTCATTTTTACATAATTCCTCTAAATAAGAAGCATTAAATGTTAGGAGACATTCAAGTCATATTCACTGCAGGATTACCTTACCTCTTTCCCCTATATTGGAGAATGGAATGGCAACTCACTCCAGTATTTTTGCCTGGAGAATCCTGTGTACAGAAGAGCCTGGCGGGCTACAGTCCATAGGGTTGCAAAGAGTCAGACACAATTGAGTGACTAACACTCACTTCTCCCATATATTGATTTACCTCAGCATTAGTAAGGCATTACTACACAACAGAAGTGTGTGTGTGTCCTAGTCTCAAACCACTGTGCCAACATTTTGTCTCTTTCTCAACTGTGGCAGGACCCTCCTGCACAAAATTCCCCTAGCAGCTGTGGTCCCAATTTTGGACCCAGGCAGAGAGAAGAAGCAACAATAAATGCTTTGTCTGTTCCTGCTCTGTATTTGTAATCACCTTGCTTCTATTAATAGTTTCTTAAACTCCATAAAGAACATCTATGTCTGAATGATAAATGACACATAAGTGCCCTCACCTTAGTTCAAGTCTTTATCACATCATTTCTATATTATTGCAGTGGTCTCCAAAACCCACCAACTTGCAGATTACAATCAGATCCTTTTGTTGTGTTACTCCCCACTAAAAAGTCTTCAGCAGTTCCTTCCCCTTTCATAAACTTTTAGTAGTCCCAGGATGGATTCTTAAAGTTAAGGAGTTTTAGTGGGTAAGAGATGGAGAAGAAAAAGAAGATCAGAGGGATTGTGAGCTAGGCAAAAGACTTTCTACCCCTACTTCGCAAATGAGAAACACTTGCATAGTTCATGAGAAAAGTGTGTGTATACGATGTCTGAAACACTAAGTATTCATGCCTTGACCTGACATGCAAGACTATCTACATAATGGCTCCAAACTTTTGTTTGTCTAGTTGACCCGTGAAACCTTCTTTTTATATAAACTGGTCTACATTCTGATCTAAAATACATCTTACACATTCTTGTCTGTGCAATTTATTAACACTATCTCACCTAAATGTCCTTGGTTCTAGCAAGACTCCAAGTTTAAGGTAAATAATTTGAATATGAATATCCATTGTAATTAGTACTATTTATCATAATTAGTATGTCTCAGAGAATAAAATACTTCCTCACTTCCAGTGATAAGTTATACGTTCATGAAAAATTTTAATGATTTTTCTTTCTCCCAGGTACTGACGACAACGGAATTCTCTGAAAGGTTAGGGTTTTATAAGTAAACCATTTGCTTACTTTACTTACTAACCATTAAAAATTCCTCATTTCAAATGTGCATACACACACCCAGGTGGCACAGTGGTAGAGAATCTGCATGCCAATGCAGAAGACAAAAGAGAGGTGGTGGGTCTGATCCCTAAGTCAGGAAGATTCTCTGAGTAGGAAATGGCAACCCATTCCAGTATTCTTGCCTGGAAAATCCCATGGACAGAGAAGCCTAGGGGGCTACAGTCCATGGGGCTGCAGTCTGACATGACAGAGCGTGCCCACAACACACACACATATGGAGAGACAGACAGTATGTTTGTGTGTTGGCATTATCTTTCAGTGCAGAAAAATTTTAACAACTCAGTAATCATTCTTGTGGTGCCACTAAGGAATTACTCTGAACACAGACTGAAGTGAATGGGGGTTAATCTACCTAGGCTGTGAATCTGGGCAATTCTACAATGATTTTACTTTACTCTAGAGGTTAAGCATTAATAGTCAAGTAGAGAAATTTTATAATCATAGTGAAAAACTGCCATGCTAAACATGAAGTAACATGGATGAGGACACATGGCACTATAGGAGGCTTAATTTAACACTCTTGCACATAAAATGAAATACTGGCTTATTTACCAGTGCAGCTTCCCAGCCCCACTCCCTGTATCTTGGATCATGAGTGAATCGCCACAGGTACCAATAGGTTTCAATGACTTCTGGACGGAGGATGTAATACTTTTCAGCCTGTCGGACTGCCACAGCTTCTACTGCACCATCAAACTTGAATGATTCAGGACCGAGCTTTAATGCTGTAACATGACAAAAGAAAGAAATGGGCACGATAAACCATTTTTGTTGGGTTTACCAGAGATTCTTCCTCCCCTGAAAGAATACAGTATGAAGTAATTTTATAGCTGTTTTATTGTTGCTGTTTTGCAAAATCAGTGACTTTAAAAGATCCACATTTGATTTTCTTATAATATTCCTACTATTCTGACATGAAATATTTCTCATAAATAATGTATATCAACATACTGCTACATCTAACTAAAGTGACAAGAGTCTAGTAATTCTTTAGAAACAAATGTAAGGCTAGACATAAATTTCTGTTTTGGTCCAAAATCAAATGAAACAGATAAATAACTGTATTGTGCAAAATTATTTTTTAAGAAGTCAAGACAATTTAAGTCTTTTTAACATAACACATACATGTAAAAAAACATTCCAAAGCTCAGATTTTGAGTTAGATTTAGTTGCAGATTATAATCTTTTAAAGTATACCNATCGGGATGGGGAGTACATGTAAATCCATGGCTGATTCATGTCAATGTATGACAAAAACCACTACAATATTAAAAAAAAAAATAAAGTATACCATAGTATGTTAAGAAGCAATACGTTTTAAAACTTAAGCTAGTTTTAAAATCATCTCTCTTCTATAACCTCTGTATATACAGCTAGGAAGAGGTTCAAATTGCGAACCACTAAGAACTTCATCAGTAAATTGCCCATTTATCAGTCTGAATAAATATCTGAAACTAATAATACTGTAAATCAACCACAGTTAAACAAAAAACTTAAAAGAAACCTGGCCATTACACATATACAACATTACATAAAATACCTTAAATGATAGGATTTCCATTCAGGCTGGAACACAGTACTACATGAAAGGCTTTTAAAGAGCCTCTTTCTAATCACACCCAGCACTCTAAACCTGGGCAATATAAAATCACCCTCCACGGGGATGCTGGAGTCACACACAATTACCACTCTCAGCTGTCATCTTTCTTTCATTTTACTAGTTTGTATCAGTGCCAAATAATTTCAAGGTCTCTCACTTCTTTCAAGAAATGCTAGATACTTTTATATTTTCTCAGAAAAGGTAGCATAAGAACCATGCCAAAACAAAAGCATGCCATATTTGTTGGCATGATATTCACAATGGCCAAATTTTAGCATTGTAAGGGTGACACCATAAATTCCAAATAATCATAATTAAAATAAAGCATTTCATACCACTCCCCACACCAAAGAAAAAGCACAAAACCAAAAAACACTGTAGTGATGATAGCTCTGTTAAAAGCAAACTGTGATCCAGAAGAGAGCTAAAAACCAAGTTGTTACTGCTAAGTCTTGGAGAACTAAAGTAGAACTTAAGCAGGCGTTTTTAACCTGAGGACATAACTCTATGGTAGGCTTTGGAAGAGGGAGACAATGTTGTGTCCAAGAAGCCTCTGAAATTACATGCAAAACCTTATGTGTGCTCATATAGTTCTGACCACCTCCTCAATGGGATGTGAGGTAAGGACTAACCAAGAAATTATTAATATATTGTAAGAAAACTTCTACTCAGCTTCCTGACAAGATCTGGCATACAATCAAATATTGTTTGTCATTTAAAAATCTTTTTAAAATAAGAAAAGTCAAACAAACATCATAGGCGCTGAAATTATAGTAATCCAATAAATAGGAAGATAAGTCATTTACTCTGGGTTTCATGTTTTTCTTTTCTCAAAGACTAGGAGTGTTAAGTGATCATATGGAATTTTCAAATGTTAACCTTAAAGCTAACTTTAAATTAGATAATAATCCCATAATCATAATATCACTTGAATTAAAGTAGACACTGGCTGTGTGGAACTAATATTTTAGGCTTCTTACTAAAATTTTTATTTCACTGATTAATCATTCATAACTTCATTCATGAGGAGTTGGTGAGTAAAAACATATAAGTCTAACACACATACCATATCCATTATTTTTGCCAAATCATTGCTTTCATGTTTCTGAGGGCATTACTTCTCAGGTGCTCTTTTGCTTAAGCAATGTTGTAAAAAATAATTTCATAACATTCTACCTCTACTTAATTTCTATTCCTTACCTAAAATTTCCCACTTACAAGTGATACATCATTTCTAAAAGGAAAATAACTAATCCAACAAGGAAAATTTTGAGTCAAAATCATAAATAATTTAGTGCTTGAGTAAAAAGAACTCTAGAGGATGCAAAAATCATATAATGAAGGTGAAGGAAAGAGATATGCACAAATTTGAAAAATGAAAGTAAAACATCAAATGCAATAAAAAGTCAGTTGTAAGACAGTAAGAGATAATTTTAAAGCAGGCACAGGTTTGTAAAGTCTTGGGAAATAAAATTCATACCTGTCTTTCAAGGCAGGTAGAATCTGTAGAGATGGAAAAATAACTACACTTAAGTTAACAAAAGATATTTAATAAAAGCTAACAAGCACATGACAGAGGATGAGATGGTTGGATGGCATCACTGACTCAATGGATATGAGTCTGAGTAAACTCCAGGAGTTGGTAATGGAAAGGGGGGCCTGGTGTGCTGCAGTCCATGGAGTCGCAAAGAGTCAGACACGACTAAGCGACTGAACTGAACTGAACTGAGGACTTCCCTGGTGGGCCAGTGGTAAAGAATCTGCCTTCCACTGCAGGGGACGCAGGTTCAATCCCTGGTCAGGGAACTAAGATCCCACATGCCTTAGGGCAACTAAGCCCATGAACCACAACTAGAGAACCCTATGGGCAGCAACAAAGAGCCCACACAGAGCAACAAAGACNAATACATGTAAATCCATGGCTAATTCATTTCAATGTATGACAAAAACCACTGCAATGTTGTAAAGGAATTAGCCTCCAACTAATAAAAATAAATGGAAAAAAAAAAAGAATATTCTTGGACATGCAACCTGACTACAGTTTGAATGGTCTAATAGCAAGAGAAGAATTTAAACTATTTTCCTGTATCCTTTCCAATCAACTTCTCTTAAGGAAACAATAGCTGTAAAAACTCTTAAAATATGTCCATTTCTCCATGTTCAATGGATGCTTTGTCCATTGGATGTGTTATATCTAAACAGATTAGATTCCCCTCCCCCCAGATGTGACAGCACATAGTCTAAGGAAGGTTTTATCCAATTTCAATATGAAGTAAATTAAGTTATATAATAGTCATTATTTTAATAATGTTCAGCAGTTTGTCTGTCTTTTTAATCTAGAAACCCAGATAGAGAAAGTACTATATTCTGGACGTCTTAAGATCTGGTTTGGCATTTATTTTGCATTATATCTCAGAATATGGGCTTCCCTGGTGGCTCAGATGGTAAAGAATCTGCCTGCAGTGCAGGAAACCCGAGTTCAACCCCTGCGTCAGGAAGAGTCCCTAGAGAAGGAAATGGCAACCCACTCCAGTATTCTTGCCTGGAGAATTCAATGGACAGTGGAACCAGCAGGCTACAGTTGCAAAGAGCTGGACATGACTGAGTGACCAACACTTTCATTTTTCATACCTGAGGTATGAATAAACTAAAACAATGTATCAATCTAGCTTCCCATGCGGATATAATGTCTTCCCAGGCGGCAAGAGTGGTAAAGAACCCATCAGCCAATGCAGGAGACATACAGGACATGGGTTCGTTCCCTGGGTCAGGGAGATCCCCTAGAGGAGGGCATAGCTACCCACTCCAGTATTTTTGCCTGGAAAATTCACAAGGACAGAGGAGCCTGGTGGGCTACAGTCCACGGGTTCACAAAGAATCAGATACAACTGAAGCAACCTAGCACACACCACTAAATTACTGCTGTTTCATGAAGATTCAGCAACGTTTCCTACAAATCTAGCTAAATATTAAGCAGTAGGCCATGTAAGTGGAATATATGAAGAATACCAGATTTTGAAATAATGTTAATTCTAATTCCAACAAACTGAAGTGAAATCCCAAGGCAGTAATTACTGCATGAAATTAACCCAAGTAACTACTAAGAAGTGGATATATTTTTAAACAAGTTAGCCAAAAATTATAGCACAGCTATAAGAAAATACAGCAGAAGATGTAATAACCTGGCGGGAAGTAAGCAAAACTAGGACTGTACTTTTTAATTAAAAGATCTAAGCTGGAGATTAAAGATAAGTAACAGAGAAAGACTTGAAAATACAGGATACAAATCAAATAGTAATCTTTCGGGGTATACTATGGGAAAGAGAGCCACAGGTTCTTGACTGGCAATGTGAAAATGACGTCAGAACAAGCATGATAGCAACAACCATAGACTGCATTTTTTAAAATTTCATTTAAACTCAAAACATTCTGAAGAAAACAGGCTGGATGTTATTATCCCAATTTTTTGCAAATGGCAACTGAGGCTTAGGAAGGTTAAATGATTTACCTAAGACTCTTGGTTAATAAATAGTGAAATATGGGATTTTTCAACATAGTTCACACATTCTTTTCATAGTATCAGTGTTTAAAATCAGCTTTGGCAATATCATTATGAAATGTGAAAGTCAGAGCTGTATAGTAATATGAGGAATCCTTTCATAACTCTGGTATTCTATGAATTTTTCAAAGGCAAGGAAGACATCTTATTCACACTTTAACCCGTAAGAATCTAGCATAATGCTCGGCACAAAACATGTGCTCCATGTTTAATGGAATGAATGATTAATTATAATAACCATAACAGACCATATTTTAATGTGTTTGTTGAATGAAATCCTACTATCTTAGACCTAGTATTTGATTTGTGGTCAAAATTTGCATAACAAGTATTATTATCATGGGTCCTACTACAAACACTTAGTATCCATTCTGTTCCTCAATGTCATACTAATTTCAGCTATATTTTAAGTATATATTTGATATCCTACAATATATTTTAACTTCAATTTGTAACTCAGGTCACTGACTTCAGATGCATTATGTACTAAGTTAAATCACCACAAAACGATGTCTGCTTCAATGTCCTTTTGACTTAGTTGTATTTTGTCAAGAAATGGAATCTTCGCTTTAGTTACTGAGATAAGCTGAAGGGTCAATTTCACAGTAAGTTCAATTCCTTATTATATAAAAATAACTTGACAGATTAATAAACTAGGATAAAATTTAAGCCAATCGTATCAGTTTCATAGTACCTGATGATACATTAACCCTGAAACACAAATTTAGTTATTTAACTAAAGCAATAATTCAATTTCTGAAATCACAATCAGAAATTCCTAGCTTTCAGTTTTTCAGGGAGCCCATTATCCATTATTTCATATAGAAACATACATTTTTAAAGCCAGAGGGAAAACCTGGAAGACCATGCTCAGTGTTTCTCAATGCTATTCTTCAGGCTTTTATTTAAATCTAATTGCCTTCTCCTTCCATGAAATCTTATATTTTAACAAATACATATATACTGTTTATCTATCTATGACTAAATGCATGTGTGTATATGTGCGTGCGCACACACACACAACAATATTTTTCACCCTCAGAAACCAACTTTTGTCACCTATAAAACTGAGTATCATCTCACTTTTTTTAGGTGAGGACACTGAACTCCAGAAATACCACCTATTTCCCTAAAGCAACATGAAAGCTTCTTTTTAAAGGCACAAACAAGTTAAAAATTATTGGTGAACTAAGAGACAAACTACCAATTATCTAGATACCAATTATACATTCAATTTGACTAATATCTTTTGGCTATTCCTAGTTTCACAAGAAGATAGGCAAGGCATGTAACCTTAATCAATTCTATTTTCTTTTAAGCAACTCATTTTATAGAAGTGGAAATAAACTAATTCTTCTATATTAAAACAATGTTATCCCATACATTAAGCCCTACCTATTGTCTTTAAAACAACGTCTTCAAAATCTTTATTTAAAAAAACAGAATTCAGAATAATAATTTAAAAAAAGATTCAGGAACACGTATTTAGAATTAAAATTAAAGTTTTTAAAAAAATAACTTACTATGTTAGAATAAATTATTTTGAAGTGAAAATGCCTATTTATTTTCCTTCTAATCCCTGGACATATTTTTATCTTAAGATTATTTTAAACTAAACAATTAGCATTATTAATATTCTTACCAGTTCTGTCATAGGACTCATGACATGTACGTGCAATTTCTGCCCCCAGCTCTAAATAATGTCCAGCTTTATCCATTTTGGAACCATCTGCTCCTAGTACAAACATTCCCCCAGCAAAACAGGCCAAATGCCCCATCTTCTTTTCCAAGTGTCCATTCTTCCATTCTCCAATAAAGGTAAGACCTCCACGAGACTTCCTAATAAGATGTTTTTCTATAGCCTATGAGAAAAAGTAGATATTCAAAATTTTAGAGGCAAAGTGTTAGTATTCAGATTTACTACATCCTTCTGGCACAAAACCTTGGTAAGACGATATTCTACAAAGCAGTAACTATCCTGAACTGAAAGACTTAGCTTACAATAATTAAGTTTGGGAATGAACAATCAAGCTACATATAATGTTAAACAAGTATTTCAATCACTACTATATTGAGACAAGGTGGGAGAGGGAAGACTGGCCTGAAGATTACCTTTCAACATAACATTACCCGTATTACTGTTTTTCTACATTTTGCTCTAAAGGAAATGTATAATAACCAGTCAGTTGAGGTCAGGATGACAAGTTACAACTCAGAGACCCTGCTAATTTATTTTCTATTTCATACAACAAAAAGTGAATAGGAGGAACAACACTCAAGTTAAACAGAAAAATACGATTTTGATAATTAGTTAAAATGGCTTCTTTTTCATATAATTGTTCAAGTATTTTAAGAAGGCTTAGTAGGTGAAATATCTTAATGTTATGAAACTTAGAAAAATAAATTTAAAGTTCAAACATAAATCCTTAGTCCCTTACTTCACAAACTTAGGCATTTGTTTTGGAGACTGTGCCATGGTTAAGAGAGGCCATGAGATAATATCAATTTTATCCATTCTCCTAAAATGTCAATTTTACTTCTTCTGAAATGTCAACTTTACTTAAAGGAATGGGAATGATGAGAGAAATCTGTATTAAACCTGAATATAACACAAAGTAAAATCCATAACTACACAATTTTTAAAAAGAAAGCTAAGATGTAAGATCCAGGGATATGGATACCTGTAAGCGTAGAGGAAGGCCAGATGAGGATGGAATAATTTAAATACACTAGTTTAGAAAGACAAATTTACAAATGATTTATCTTAAATTAGAAGCAATCTTAAAAATTCATAATCATTCCTATCTCTTCCACACATACAACATGTCATTTATTTTACTATCTGTATATACTCTATCTTCTAACATAATTCTGTTATCAAAGATAATTAACATTGCAAAAACTGCATACATGTCTCAAAATGAAAGTCAGCTAATTGGTTACTTAAACACTCTTATAGGTGCCCATTTTCGACCTAAGGACTAATAAAAACAGGATACAGACAACAAACATAGAAAGAAAATTAGGACACATAACATATAACAGATGATTCATGGAAAATAAATTTTAATTTATGAGATTAAGTTTCAAAACAGGCATCATGCTTTTCAGAGTATTAATATATCTCATTTTAAAACAATGACAAATATGTTCTTTTTCCTGTAGGAAAAATTATTAAAAATAAAAGGGAAAATGTTCTCAGATTTAAATTATTATAAGAAAGTAGTAAACTATGAAGAAAAAAATGATTACACAATATACGACATGTCACACTTTATAAAAAATAAAAATATTAAATACACTCATTTATCAAATACTTTTTGAATACCTATTGTTTCAGGTCATGCAAGACAATAATAAATAAATTAGTCTGTCTTCAAAGAAGCTACAATCTAATGGGAATGAGATGTGTGGCTATTTTCAACACTGTGATACTAAAAATGCTACATTCTTCCTAGATAGTAACTTTTCCTGCATCATAAAAATTTCTAGGTTTAAAGTTTAATAACAGAATAAAATTCTCCAACTTTTCAAAATGCAAGGCTTCATAAAGAATTTTAGAAGTCACCTACTATTCCTGATTATAATTTAGTTCATTTTCTTAGTCAACACACTCCTTCAAGAAACATTTATACCTACGGTAGGCAAACCAGTACAATGCAACATATTAGTTCAACTCCTGTGCATTTTTATAAAACTACGGAGATCAGTTCCTTAAAAAGTGAGAATATATATGGGTAATAAGATCCTTGGTTTAACTTTAAGACAAAAGAACTATAACTCTGAGTATGGGTCATTGACTAGAGTCAGAATGGTGTTGTTATATATAAAATATACAACTTTAAAATATGATTAAATTATTAAAGGAATATGGGTTTATACTAGATCAGAAGCAAATAATTTACAAAGTGACTAACACTTGGAAATACCACATATAAGTGTTTCCAAGAATGAAATCTGTCCCAATTTTAAATGGCCACAACACTGTAGCACAAGGTTACATAAATATAAAACAATATAGAATAGTGGTTAAGAGTACAGGCTCTGGACCTAGACTTTTCAGATATGGGTTCCATCACTAACTAAGCTATGCAAGGTTTACTTCTCTGCACTTTGAGGTCTCATGAGTAAAACGGTAGAGAAGATTAAATGATTTCACATAAGTAAAAGGAATCAGAACAGTGCAAATACTGTAAAATGTATGTTTCGAGAGAACACCATCGAAACATGTATATTATGTAGGGTGAAACAGATCACCAGCCCAGGTTGGATGCATGAGACAAGTGCTCGGTCCTGGTGCACTGAGAAGACCCAGAGGGATCGGGTAGAGAGGGAGGTGGGAGGGGGGATCGGGATGGGGAATACATGTAAATCCACGGCTGATTCATGTCAATGTATGACGAAACCCACTACAATATTGTAAAGTAATTAGCCTCCAACTAATAAAAATAATTGAAANAACTAATAAAAATAAATGAAACCAAATTAAAAAAATACTATGAAAGTGTTTTGTCCTTACATTTCACCTATAAGGCTCTTGATGTGTAGGTTTAATTGGTCATTTCAAAATAGAAATGCTTATGGAAAAGTATGTTAAGTCAGAAGTTTCTCCAGGCTCTGCAGAAAATAGCTACAAATAATTGAAATAAGTTTTCATACATAAATATGCTACACTAAATTCTTCAACAATTACTTTAAAGTGATACAATAAAGGAAAATAATATATGACTATTATATTGAAATACTAACAAACTCTAAGTGAATGTAAATAATAAAATATATACAGAATGTTCATCAATTTCTACCAAATACATAATATATTTGAGATGTTAAGCAGGTAAATGTTCCAATAATAATTACCTCAATAGCATCATCATACATTTTTCTGGCTTCATGGTCTGTTTTATCTGACATCAACCATGCTTTCAGTAAGTACTCATAAAAACTGTCTCCTAGCCCGCCAACTGACGTGTGATCTGCAACAGAAAAGAAAAGGATGGAGGTGGAAGAAAGAGAAGACAGAGGACAAAAAATAATATTCTTTAATTATAATGACTATATTACATATCAATAATTTAAACATTATATTGACAGCCCTATTGCCAACATACTTCAAATTTAATCCAGTAGGAGGGTACCATAATCACTCTTCTCTACATCTGAACCCAATTTTCTAGAAAACTTTTTCTGCTTGATCTGACACTTTACATGGTTAGTAGTCTTTTTCAAGTATTGACGAATATGTGGAAGAACACCAATGATGGGAATGTACATCCACTTTGGAAAACAATTTGGCAGTTTCTTTAAAAGATAAACATATATACCTACCATAAAATACAAACATTCCACTCTTGGTTTACTCATGAGAAAAAAAGGACATACATCCACTTGAAGGCTTGTGTGTTCATAGCACTTTATTTGTAACAGCCCCGAAGTGAAAATAAGCCAAATGCCCATCAACAGGTGAATGGATAAACAAATTGTGGTATTCCACAAAGTGGGATTATGCTCAGAACTACTAATACACACAAAATGGATGAAGCTCAAAATAATTATGCTGAGTTAAAGCATGTCACACGCTAGTAAAGTAATGCTCAAAATTCTCCAAGCCAGGCTTCAGCAATACATGAACCGTGAACTTTCAGATGTTCAAGCTGGTTTTAGAAAAGGCAGAGGAACCAGAGATCAAATTGCCAACATTCGTTGGATCATCAAAAAAGCAAGAGAGTTCCAAAAAAAACATCTATTTCTGCTTTACTGACTATGCCAAAGACTTTGACTGTGTGGATCACAATAAACTGTGGAAAATTTTCTGAAAGAGATGGGAATACCAGACCATCTGATCTGCCTCTTGAGAAACCTATATGCAGGAAGCAACACTTAGAACTGGACATGAAATAACAGACTGGTTCCAAATAGAAAAAGGAGTATGTCAAAGCTGTGTATTGTCACCCTGCTTATTTAACTTATATGCAGAGTACATCATGAGAAACGCTGGGCTGGAAGAAGCATAAGCTGGAATCAAGATTGCTGGAAGAAATATCAATAACCTCAGATATGCAAATGACACCACCCTTATGGCAGAAAGTGAAGAGGAACTAAAAAGCCTCTTGATGAAANTGAACTGAACTGAACTGAAAGGAGCCAGAAAATTAGAGTACATATAAAGGATTGCATTTATATAAGATTCTAAAAAATACAAACCTATCTATAATGATAGAAAGCAGATCACTGGTTGCTTCAGAAAGGAGAAGGGGAGTAAGGAAAAAAAATCATGAAGGGATTACGAGGAAGTCTTTTGGGGTAAACATATGTTCATTATTTTTTATTGTAGTGGTAGTTTACATAAGTATATACTTATTTTAAGCTTATTGAACTGCATACTTCAAACACATACAGCTTATTCTATGTCAACTTTACCTTAATAAAACTGTTTTTACAAAATCAAGTAGACAAAATAAAAAGGATATTTGGAATCAGTCCAAACCGATCAGTAACATCAACAAACTTAATTTGTTTCAATTCATCTTTTAAAATAAACTGAGACTCACTCTGGATTTTTAAAAACTCTATATTCTTAATCTATATAAATACTTTTTACTAAAGACACACATAAACACTAAAATTGTGCAGGAAATTAACAAGAAATGGTGAAAAGACAGATGAGGACGGATAGTTTTATACAGAAGATTTAAGGAGAGTAAAGAAAAAGAAAGTAAACTGATCAAAGTTAGAGCTGTCAGGGGTACTGGTGATCCAGTTAGAATTGGATATTATAAATTTGTAGTCATCTCAGTCGCTCAGTTGTGTCCGACTCTTTGCAAGCCCGCCAGGTCCCTCTGTCCATGGGATTTTCCAGGCAAGAATACTGGAGTGGGTTGCATTTCCTTCTGCAGGAGCTCTTCCTGACCCAGGAATCGAACCCAGGGCTCCTGCACTGCGGGCAGATTCTTTCCTGTCCTAGCCATTAGGGCCCAGGTGTGTTATAAATCTGTAGTGACTTTAACCTTTATTATTGATGATTTTCACCAGCAATGCTCAGCTGACAACAGACGAATGGAAAAGGTACACAGCTGGGTTGATACAAGCATTGGATTTGTAGGACAGATAACACAGAAGACTAAAGGTACTGGAGTATTCTCACACTGGTTCAGATACTATGTAGTCTAGGCTGGATAGGAAAGGAAGCAACCGGTGATCCTTACTCCACTGTCCACCTATTGCACCCAGCCAGTAAAAACATCAGCCCACCTGAGAGTCTATTTTACTATTATCCCCAAATTCACAATTTTCACCATCAATGAGAATCTCAGCATTGCTTGTCAAGTTTTCTATGACTCCGTGATTTGTGCTCTTTCCCATTCCCTAAAGCAGAGATTTTTAAATCTCTTTTTCAAAAGACCTCTAAGGGACTTCCCTGGCAGTCTAGTGGTTAACAATCTGCTTTGCAATGCAGGGGGTGTGCATTTGATTCCTGGTTGTGGAACTAAGACCCATGTGCCACGGAGCAACTAGGCCTGTATGCTGCAACTACTGAGCCTGTGTGTTCTACAGCTCATGTGCCACAACTAGAGAGTCCATGCTCTGCAACGAAGATGCTGTAACTAAGACCCAACATGAAAAATTAAATAAAGAATAATAATAATTAAAACCTCTACAGCTCTACCTCTTCCTTAATCTCAGCAGACAACCAAAACTTCAAATTCATAGAAAAAATACAGATCACGGGCCCCAAAAATGCATCTTTCAACTATCCGTACCCCCATCTATCAATTTATCTGTTTCTTTTGCCTGTTAAAGAGGAAAAAGTGTTCCTTCTCTGCTGTATACACTCTATCTAGCTCTGAACACTAACCACTTCTGTTTCCTTTTCAGGAGTCTCTCCTCTTGGTTTATCTTTAACTTCTACCTGTCAACTGAAACTACCTCTTATTATTAACACCTTAAAATAATCTAATCTTTCCTGACTCTACCATAATCTTTTGGTTTGATATCTATCAGGTATTTACTGAAACAATGAAGAAAGAGAAATCATGGGTGAAGTCTAGATTTCTTGCAGGTGCAAATGAGTGAACAAACAGTGGGGCGCTCTTCCCTGAAACTGGGAATACTAGAGGGGGAAATGACTTAAAGTGAAAGGAGTCTGAATCTTGGGCATAATGAATCTGAGGAACTAAATGGATATCTAAATGGGTATATAACAAACATGGAAATCCAGAGAGATAAGTTGGCAGTATACCTTTGGGAGTTATAAAATTGGGATTTATAAAAATGTATCTGAGCCATTGTGGAGTTCTCTCAGACAGCATGTAAGACATGATCAAAGGACACAAATGGTCCTTTGGAACATCACAGTTATAAAAGTAATTAAGATAATATGTAGGGCATTTAAGAATTTTGCACTTTGGCCTCACACATATATTTCTCAATATACTGTAGATCTAAGGATTAACAAATGAGCAGAAGAAGAACACATAAAAAATTAAAGTAGATGAAATAATGAGAAAAACCTTGGAAAGGTAAATGTCTTGTCATCACAGTTTAGAGGCAATGATTTTTAGATATGTGACTTACTGCCAGGGTTTACAGATTTAGTTACAGGTTAGTTACTTAGGTTATAGGATGCAGTCCCAGTCCTGCCTAACAGGTTCTCATCAGCTCTTCTAGAATGTTAGTTCAGTAGATGTTTATATATTCAATAAATAAATACACAGCAGAAGCCTGAGATCCTTGGTTAACTATGGAATTTATCACCCAGTAGTCTGACTTTATTTGAACCACTAACCCGTGCCCGCCTTGGTGTCAAATTTGATGTACCATGTCACTCCATGATCCTTTTGAAATTCTGAACTTGATAACGCATTAGAAAGTACTACTAAATACCAATGGTTACATTATATGTCTTAACATGTCATAAAGTTAATGAGGTCCTAAGAAGCTAATTCTTGAAGTGTTCTTATAAAAAATTCTAGAATAAACATATCTGTATCATATGCTATAGAGTTTATGAAGTTTTTAAATATATTATCTCATAAATATGATTCACATAACTGTCTTAATAAAATAAGTACAAATAACAGATGAAGGAACAAAGGCATTAGGTTAATTAACTAAATTATTAGGCAGAAAAACCTGGATTAGTCTTTCAACTCCAAATATTATACCCATTCTTACTTTTTTCATATTTTAAATTAGTATGAAATTTAATGAATCACTAATGATAAGTTTCCTATATCTTCTTCACTTAAGTCATTAAATGGCATAGGTTAAGTAGTGTACTTAGAAAACTAGCAAAAAATGAAGCAAAAAAACCCAGGTATTAATGATGTGCCTTTAAATCTAGGCTGCTTACTACATTCTTTTATTATCTGTTGCTAAGTACTTTTCCTGAAGGTAATTACCATAATTCTTCTCTGTGATTGCTGTGTGCATGTCACAGACATTATCATTACTCTAATTATAATACAGTTAGCCAAAGCTGAATTGTTACATTTCAGCTCAATTCACTGTTTGTTTTGCAGACTATTTATAGTTATGACAGATGCATACTGCTTAAAGATAATAATGGAATTTGATATACTTTTCAGAAGCTGATATGAAATATACAGAAATAGGAAAAGGAACAAATTGGACAATTTAATAAGGACTGCAGCTGCTGAAGGGATATCAGGGTAGCTCCCCTAAAATTTTAAAGACCTCTTGCCAAAACAACCAGTGAATAGCTCTTTTTATAACATTCTCAAAATTAATAACTGCTGCGGGTGAAGAAATTCTAAAGAAGTAACTGGATTCGTTTTGTGGGAAAAAAACAAGTATGAATAAAATAATTGATTTTTACTTCAATTTTTACTGTGGTAAAATATATGCATATAACACGAATGTTGCCATTTTTACCATTTTTTTAAGTGTACTATTCAGTGGCATTAATTACATTCACAATGTGGTACATTGTCATTATTTCCAAAACTTTTTCATTGCCCCAAACAGAAGCGATGCATCTATTAAGCAATAACTCCATTCTCCTCTCAACCAAGCCCCTGGTAACCCCCAATACACTTTCTGTCGCTCTAAATTTGACTAGCTATTTGATATAACCGGAATTATATGTCATTTTGCAACTGGCTTTCCTTTTAGAATAACATTTTCAAGGTTCACCTATGTTGTAGCATGTGTAAGAACTTCATTCCTTTTTACAGCTAAAAAACATACCACTGTATATTTATACCACATTTTATTTATCCATTTGAAGGATGCGGACACAACTGAGCAACTTCACTTTCACTTTTCTTGTTTCCACTGGTATTGTGAATAATGTTGCCATGAACACTGGCATGCAAATATCTCTCTGTGTCTTTGCTTTCAAATCTTTTGGGTATATACCTAGCAGTTGAATTGATCGATCACATGGAATTTTATGCTTAACTTTGTGAAACCACCCAACTGTTTTTCACAGTGGCTATACCATTTTACATTCCCACTAGTAGTATGAGAGGGTCCCAATTTTTCCACATCCTCACCAACACTTATTATCTGTCCTTTTGATTACAATCTTCCTAGTAGGTGTGAAGTGACATCTCATTATGCTGTGATTTGCATTTTCCTAATGAATAATAATCTTGAGCATTTTTTTCATGTGTTTATTTTCCATTTGAATATCTTCTTTGGAGAAAACTATTCAAGTTCTTTATCCACTTTTTAATTGAGCGTTTGTCTTTTTGCTGTTGAGTTTGAACATGAGTTTGAGAAGCTCTTTATACATTCTGGATATTAAACCCTTATCAGATATATGGTTTGCAAGTATTATTTATTTGCAAATAAAAACTCTCATTCTGCTGGTTGCCTTTCAATGTCAAAACAATATCCTTTGATGCACAAATGTTTCTAACTTTAATGAAATCCAATTTATTTTTTCTATTGTTGCTTGTACTTTTGAAGAAGTCACTGCCAAATCCAAGGTCATGAAGATTTGTCCTTCTAAGAGTTTTACAGTTTTGGTTCTTAAATTTAGGGTCTTTGATGCATTTTACTTAATTTTTGAATCTGGTATAAAGTAAGTGCCCAACTTCATTCTTTTTCATGTGGCTATCCAGTTTTCACAATACCATTTGACAAAAAGAAAGAGTTATAATTTTAATTAAAATGCCATCAATGAGATACTACTGGTCATTTGAAAGGCTGGCAATTCTCAAACAGTGGTTTATTTTTTCAGTATTCTAAGATTTTGGTGTGCAAGATAGCATCTTCTTCTTATTTAAAAATGCTTTTAATTTTACTTCAAAAGTAACAGATTCCATTATCAGATTAGGTTAACGGAGGTAAACAAAATTAGAAAATAAAAACAAACATTCAGAAAAAAAACATAGGGGACAATCTGGTTCCTATTCTTGTGGTGTTTGTTTTCTCTCTTTTCCTAAATATCTTTCTGCTGCTGCTGCTGCCGCCAAGTCACTTCAGTCGTGTCCGATTCTGTGACCCCATAGACAGCAGCCCACCAGGCTCCCCTGTTCACGGGATTCTCCAGGCAAGAATACTGGAGTGGGTTGCCATTTCCCTCTCCCAAATATCTTTCTAGATACTTCATATTTATCTATGTCAAGTATTCTAATAACATAACTTTTATTGTCTATATAGTGTATCACACCTGGAGGGACTATAACTTAACCAAATCTCTTTCACAAGAGGTTTAAAAACTGCACTGTTCAATGTGTTAGGCTCTAGTCACAAATAACTAATTAAATAGAACATTTTTTTCATCACAGAAAGTTCCATTGAACAGGAGTGCTTTAGAATGCTTCCAAATTATCCCTATTATGTGTGTGTGTGTGTGTACACACACACACACAGAGGTCTGAAAATTTTTTTGAATAAATGCCTAGCAATGAGTCACTGCTTCAAAGGTCATATGAATTTTCATATTTTCTGAAGCACTGGATATACTGGGATGCGTCCATTCTGTTTATCAATTTAGTAGGAAAAAAACATCTTCTGTTTAAAAGCTTCACTGATTTGATTAGGGACACAGTAAAGTGGAAAGACAGCAACAAAGGTCTCTGATGACCAATCTACGGAGATGCTACAAATATGGTACTAAACATAGTAGTCTTTTGCACATTCTACTAAAGTAGCACAGAAGGAGTGCATTGTCTCCATGTGTCACATATCTTCGTTAGCACCACTCTTAGGATTAAATGTGAACATCTGTGTACTATCCATTTGTGTTTTGCTCTTTCATAAACTAACTACAAGAGATTAGTTTCATGTTCATCATAAAAACTTTATTTAATGTTATTTAAAAAATCAGTTCCTTCAAAGATCAGTTCTAAGACTCTAATGAGGTATCATCACCCCCTTCCCAAACAAAACACAGTCTCCTGAGACAGAGGAAATCACTTCTACCACAGTCTCACCTAACAACTGGTACATTTCCTCTACTACAACATTTATTTCATTATATAAACCCTGCCTGCTAGCCTGAGAGCTGACTGAATTCAAAGTCCTATATATTCTTCCCCAGTCTCCAGTCTCTTCCAAGAGCCCAGTAAATAACAGACACTGATGCTGTTGTCCACTTAGTCATGTCCGACTCTGTGTGACCCCATGGACTGAAGCACGCCAGGTTTCCCTGTCCTTCACTGTCTCCCAGAGCTTGCTCAAACTCATGTCCATTGAGTCGGTGATGCCATCAAACCATCTCATCCTCTGTCACCACCCCCTCTCCTCCTGCCTTCAATCTTTCCAGCATCAGGGTCTTTTCTAATGAGTTGGCTCATTGCATTAGGTGGCCAAAGTACTGGAGCTTCAGCTTCAGCATCAGTCCTTCCAATGAATATTCAGGACTGATCTCCTTTAGGATGGACTGGTTGGATCTCCTTGCAGTCCAAGGGACTCTCAAGAGCCTTCTCCAATACCACAGCTCAAACTCATCAATTCTTCAGCACTCAGCCTTCTTTATGGCCCATGTCTCACATTCACACAGGACTACCAGAAAAACCATAGCTTTGAATACACGGACCTTTGTTGGCAAAGTAATGTTTCTGCTTTGTAATATGCTGTCTAGGTTTGTCATAGACGCTTGCTTTTCTTCCAAGGAGCAAGTGGCTTGTAATTTCATGGCTACAGTCACCTTCTGCAGTGATTTTGGAGCCCAAGAAAATAAAGTCTGTCACTGTTACCTTTTAAAATGAATGATCAGATATGGCTTGTCCCAGAGCAATCACACTATTTTCCAGTCATTTAACACACTCAAGTCTTCTTCACATTACTCAACCAAAGACTTATCTCAAGCAATGCTCTTATTTATACCAAGATATAGTTTACAAACAAGGGCTTAAAAGTATAACCTTTTGCAAATGCCACACTGTATTTTAGCAAAGTACTTACACAAACATGAAATAAAATACTCTTGTGAGATGGCGTATTAATATTTCCATTTTAAACATATAAAAACTGAAACTACAAGAGATGAGAAACTTGCCAAAGGTTACAGGACTAGCAGATCCTACCAGGGTTATATACCATCTGGGTTTCTAATACTACATGTAGTGTACTTATCACTACATCAAGCATAAGTTTTCAGACTATCTTTCAACAGAGCATCGGTTGTAACAGAAATACTTACATTGACCCCAGCGACCTGTTCTTGGGTTCAAATAATTTGGATAAAGACCATTTGGACGATCCATTCTCTGAAGTAGTTTCCGAATGTGCATGACCTAAGCAAAATAAAGAATGCAATCATGAAAAAAAAATCACTAAAGTTTTATATTAATCTGGGCTTTGTTTTTTTTCCCTTACTCGGAACCTACACTCCTACCCCCCACTGTGTGTGTGTGAGACAGATGATAAGAAAAGGCTTCTCTTTTTTAAATGACTCATTATTTCTTATAAGAGAGAATATGAGCATTATTTAAAAATAATAAATAAGCAACAATAGAGCATAAAGAAAAGGGCATAAAACCAATTTTAATTTCAACATTCTACTTTCCAGAAATAGTCATCAGGAACATCACTGGTAAACATTATTCTAGACATATTCAGTATGTACATAACTAAATGTTAAGAACAGAAACAATTTCATAAAAATATAATCATAATAGAACATTTATAATACAAAGTATGAAACCACTCTGAAGTTAATAGATGAAAAAGTAAAACTAAATTGCTGAACTTTAAATATTGATCCTGTAAGAGACATCCCTAAATTCCTAGAATTCCTAAACTTCCAATTCCTAAAAGATATCCCTGAAGTTAACAGGGGGAAATCACGAAATACATTAAGAAACTGGAGACTTTCCCAGGGACTTCATTTTGATTCATCTCTAGATTGGATGATGGATTTTTTAAATGCTTAAAAAAAATTTTTTTTTAAGCACAAACATGTTCTTTCTTATATTCTTATTTCAGAATGTTATCATCACATCTGAACAATAACCTAGCTGGCATAAATGACTTGATGAAACATTTTTTTATTCACAGGACCTTATATATACACTTCACTATTTTCTGAACTTGAACATAGCACTAACCCTTTTAACTCACAGTTTCCAATCTTCTTTTATTCTGCTGGATTCTGTCATCACGGAGTTTTAGGAATTGGCTCAGGGAAGCTTATTACTTGTACCTTGCATGTTTGAGACCATATTTATGTACAACAACCTCAATCTGAATAATTGCACGAAGCAGGTTTAGTCGGTTCTCTCGCCTTCTGAGAATTACACGTACATTGAATCCCCTCAGCTTCTTTTCTACATCTACATTTCCTTTGTAAACCTTTTTATCTATCTTTTAATTTCCATGTTCACTAGCTTGTCTCCATTTTGCCTTCCAAGTCCCTCACTATATTTTGAATGCTTTCTTTGTATTGCTTCCATTTTGTCCTTCATTTTGACTATAATTTTTTCTTACACTCTATTACTGATATGGCATCTTATTATCTCTGAGCACCTGTATCTCTTTTTATATTCTGGTTTCACATAAATGAGAGCTTCATTATCTTCTCTCTCATGGTGATGCTTGGTCAGGTCTTCAATTGCTATTTTCTGATAAATATCTTTTGGCCATCATTTATTTTTCACATTCCTTCCCTTTTCTTCTGGTAATATTATTGTATAAATTCTACATGTGTTCTTTGTTGATGACTTATTACTATTTTTCTTGAACCAGCAATTCAGAAGGGTTTTGACATAAAAGGATAAGTAAAGTCCAGATGTGAATGTGGTTTCTTAAGCCTTTGTTTCTCATCAGGCAACTGAAACCAGCAATGCAGCACTATAGAAATATGTAAGGTCTCAAGTTGCTTTTTTAGCTCTACTATCTTACTGTATTATTTTATTTTTGGTTTCAAGTTTTAATTTTACTGAATTCAATCTCAATCACAGTATGAACTGCTCATAGACTTACAAAATTTCAAGCTGGGTTCTCGATCAGTCTCTTAAATGCTCTTTACCACCCTGCTTTTGTTTCCTGCGGTATGTCTGCGTAATCGCATGCTTTCTCTTTCATCGTGCTAATGTTTAACTGGGCCAACTCTGACCTGAGCTTCAGACTGATACAGTGAAGCTGAACTGTCCTCAAACTCCTTCCTATTGCATGTACGTGGTTGGGCAGAGACGGGTGGGGCAGGGGGGATGTGTATCTCCCCTCCAGGATACACTAAGATTTGGAATACTAGTGTACTAGCTCATTTCCTGAAGCCTATGTGCTCAGGAGGACGGAAGGTGAGAACACATTTGGAGCTGTGGGCAGTTGTATTCTGTGGCACTGGTCTCCCTTGTAAGATTAATAGAGAATATCAGGAATTTACTGACTTTCTTTCTCTGCCCAGTAAGGATTCAGGATAAGGCAAGAGACAGACTTAAGATATCACAGCAGAAATCTTCTGTTTTTTTATGGCTATCACATGTTTATGACATAAGGTTTCAGCCTTTCTTTCTTTCATTGTTACTGATTAATTTTTGCTGGTCTTTACTATTTTTCTTGTTATTGCTAATTTAATCAAGAAAGGGAAAATTTTGTGATTTGGCTCCCTTTTGCTAACTTCACCTGAAAATTCTTCTAACTGATAAAATATTTCATACACAGAAAGGAATATATAGAGATTCTACTCATACTTAATTTAAGAAATACAACACGACATAACCTTTGCTATTCTGTTTACCATTACACATTCACATATCACTGACTTTTTCTGAAATGTGCTCACAGTCTTGAATTTTACGTTTGTTATTATCTTGATTCTATTAAAATCACTTTGAATCCCTAAACAATAGTCTGTTCAGCTCTGCTTCTTTTTAACTTTTTAAGAATTGTATTATATATATTCTTTTGATTGATGAATGTGACCATAATTAATGTATTTTCACTGCTGTATTGAATCTTATCATATAAACTGCTAATACAAACAATGATTTTATATGTATGATGTAAATGTACATACCAAAGATTGGAATTATTGGGCCACAGAGTATATGTATTTTCAGCTTTACTAGATTTTGTATTTTAAATTTAAGTCTTTAATGTTCCTAGAACTGTTATAATCTACAAAGGTACCATTGTCACACTTCCACATAAATGTGGGGCTGTTTAAGGGCTATTTATTCTGTTTATCAGTTTTACTTGTCTCTATGCACCAGTACTAATATTGGTAGTGTTGATAACTGAGTAATGCAAATGCATCCACCATGTTTTTCTTCAGAAGTATTTTGAATATTTCTCTCTTGTTTAAATTCTAGAAATGTCTAATCAAGTTCCAAAAAAAAAAAAAAAAAAAAAATTTTTAACAAGTTANAGCTAACAGCCAATAAATGAAATTAAGCAGAATGAATTGAGCTGACTAATCAATTTTGGGGGAATCTGCATTCTTCCCTACTCTTTGCTCTTGGTGTAATGGGTAAGTATATGAGTTCTAGTGATGGACTGCTTTGGTTCTACTTAAAATGCTTACCGAAATACCTGGTGCATGAGAAGAACCAGAAAAATATTACTATAAATACCAAATGTCTGTGTGTGTGTTTGTGTGTGTGTGTGTGTGTGTGTGTGCGCGCACGCGCGCACACACGCGTTATTCACTCAGTAGTGTCTGACTCTTTGCGACTCCATACCAAATGTCTGTCTGTCTGTGTGTGTGTGTGCGTGTGCACGCATTATTCACTCAGTAGTGTCTGACTCTTTGCGACTCCAAGGACTGTAGTCTGCCAGGTTCTGCTATCCATGGAATTTTCCAGGCAAGAATACTGAAGTAGGTTGCCATTTCCTACCCCAAGGGAATTTCCCAACCCAGGAATCAAACCAGGGTCTCGAGCATTGCAGGTGGATTCTTTACCAACTGAGCTATCAGGGGGAGATATAGGAGACACAGGTTTAATCCCTGGGTTGGGAAGATCCCCTGGAGGAGGAAATGGCAACCCATTCCACTGTTCTTACCTGGAGAATCCCATGGACACAGGAACCTGGCAGGCTATAATCCATGGAGTCACAAAGAGTCAGACACAACTGAAGCAACTGAACACAGCACATCATGTTGATCTTTCATTCAAACTATAAATTAAGCTCTTGTTTAATAATTTAAATGTGAAAGTCTTAGTTGCTCAGTCGTGTCTGACTCTTGCAACCTCATGGACTGTAGCCCGCAAGGTTCCTCTGATTATCTTAATATTTTAGGTAATCATTTAATCTGTGAGTAATTACTGTTTTCTTTCTTCCTTTTCAATCTTTACCTTTCTGTTCACTTTGTCCTATTTTACCATACTGACTAGGAACTTCAGCACAATGCTAAATAGAGACTATATAATGTAATTTCTTGAAAACCTACTAGTGATTATATCTTCTCAGATAACAGAAAATATATCAAATCTGTTCTAAATATAAGATACAGTTCTTTACATAATTTTTAAAAAGGCAAATATTTTCTAAGCATTAATCAAATCTTTGGGGTAAAACCTAAAGGATTCTCTTATAACAAAGAAAAGAAAGCAAGAAAACTAACCTTTTTGTAGTAAATTGGGTTTCCTGTCAAGTAGCTGAGGTGGACAAACTCCATATGTAGTGTGCCAAATTCAGCAAGAATGCTGCTACCTGCAGATGCCCAGCCCCAGTTTCGCCCTACTCCACTGAATGAAACAAAAGGTAAAAGGAGACAGAATTGGGAAAAGACCAAAACATTTTTTAATGAGTATATAACTTTTAAATAACTCTCTCAGAAATTATTATCACAAACACAATAGATTATTATACCTAAAATCTTACTATTTTAAAATTATTTTGAATAGGATATTCATATGTCCTAAAAATAAAAACAATGTAAAAAGTATATGTTAAGTATTTCACCTCACTCTCATCTCTGTTCCCCTTACAGGCCCCAAATATAATCATTCATTAGCTTCTTATGTGTTAGCATAGAAATTTCTATGCATAAATAAGCAATCCAAATACATATTCTTCTTTTCCCTCCTTTCTTAAAATACAGCAAAGGATACTTAACTCCTCTGTAAGTTAGATTTTAACTATTAAGAAGTACCTCAGTAGGCTTTCCAAAGTTTATAAACAACTTTCTTATATTTTTTACTTACAAATGCATAGAATTCCATGATATTAATGATTTTCAATTGAAATGTCTCATCCACACAAAAATGTGTGAGAGCATTCTAAGTTGTTTTAACCTTGAAAGTACAACTCGCATTTACTGTGCTAGGACCAATGATGTCACAGGATTATGACAAAGAACTGTCTTGCCTCTACTGCTGATAGTGTATGAAAACTACTACATTATACAAATAGACATACTTTACTCAGTCCTCTACTAGTGGTCCTCTGGCACCTTTCCAGTATTTTGCTATTGTGAAAACTGTTACAGTGAATAACCTTGGGTGCACTTCATTTGTGCAGGTATATTTCTAGGATATCTTTCTTTTTCCAGGGTGCCTTATAAATTTTTTACTGGAAGCTAAACTATATAAATGAAAAGTACAGACTCTTTGGATGTTATTCTCTTTCCCAGAAGGTTAAGCTTGCTCTGAAACATAGATTGAGTACAGGCAGATAACCTTAGCTCTGAGCTTTGCTAAGGGTTAAAACTATTCTAGTTTTACCTGTACTTCCAGGAAGTGGCCCTATAGGATCTTAGCTGAAAGCCTGGGGTGTTTACCAAGGGCCCTTCACCATGGCAGCTTCAAATACTAACTCTGTCTCCTCAGTACCATGAAGTTGCCAGTACCATATAGTTGTTAAATTTTCTTCTTTGTATCTACTTGTATACTGGCAATTCAATATGCTATGTTGTATTTATCTGTGTTGAGAAAACATTAAAATAGGTATCAGGATAGCTATAAAATAGGTATCAGGATACCACTACCTTGCTTAAAGTTCTTTAATTTTTTGGTGCTATTTTTGTACTGTTTTTGAAATTATGAAAGGCAAATACCACTAACAGATTTTTTTGAAGCCAGACATGAGAATCAAAGAAGAAATATGGATACAATAACTATGTAGGACAGTCATTCATTTCACAAATATGAAGTACCTACTCTTATCTGGGAGATATAACTGTGAACTCAGAGGGTAAAGCGTCTGTCTGCAACGTGGAAGACCTGGTTTCAATCCCTGGGTCGGGAAGATTCCCCTGGAGAAGGAAATGGCAACCCACTCCAGTACTCCTGCCTGGAAAATCCCATGGATGGAGGAGCCTGGTAGGCTACAGGCCATGGGGTCACAAAGAGTTGGACACGACTAAGCGACTTCTCTCTTCTCTAACATGTAACATTCCTGTTCCCATAATAAGTGGTAATTGTTATGAAGAAAATTAAACATAGAATACTTAGTTGAATAGAATACTGAGTACTAGTGATAGAGGATGAGTTCAAAGACTTTATGTATAATGTTCAAAGAGTTTCTAAAATGACACAATTTAAACTGAGAACTGAATGATGAGAAGGAGCCAGTGATGAATACATCTGGAAGAAGAAAATTCTCAGTAGAGGAAACAGAAATTGGAATGGCCCTGAGGAAAAAAGTCAGTTAGTGTGGCTAGATTGATTTCCTGAAGGAAATCAACCCTAAATATTCAATGCAAGGTCTGTTGCTGAAACTGAAGCTCCAGTACTTTGGCCACCTAATGCAAAGAGCCAACTCATTGGAAAAGACCCTGATTCTGGGAAATATTTAAGGCAAAAGGAGAAGTGGGTGGCAGAGGTTGAAATAATTAGATAGCATCACCAACTCAGTGGACATGAATTTAAGCAAATTCATAAAGAATTTATCAAGATAATGGAGGACAGAGGAGCCTGGCGTGCTACACTCCATGAGGTCACGAAGAGTTGGCTGAACAACAGTAACAATGTAGTTTGGCTGGAGCTCAGGAAGGGGAAATGATGATATACGATGAGGTTAGAGCGTGGGTATAATCTAGACTGTATAGAAATTCTGTTGGCTATGGTGAAATTTAAAATTTAAGTATGAAGGAACATCATATAGAATTTTAACGAATGTAACATAATATTTAAAGGATAAAAGCATACCATTTAGAAAGATTACCTAGGCGTCAGCAAGGTGGATGGATTATAGTGCAGTCAAGTATAAATACAAAATCTCATTTCCATGTAAAAACTTTCTATCTCAAAGTCCCAAATGAAAGCTTCATTCACAGTGCATTTAAGCACTATCAAAACACTAAGTTCTAAAAAAAGTATTTTTCACACTTTTACATACAACCTCACAGGGCCCTCCACCTTGGCAGCCTTAGACATTAACTCTGTCTTCCCAATACCAAGTAGCTGTTAAATTTTCTCCTTTGCCCTTCAGCCTCCAAATGCTGTTTTCTAGTTTCTTTATTTCTTTGTCCTGTGCGCGTGTGCAGGCACAGAATCAGCCAACAACAAGAGGAAAATCTGTAGATAAATTTTGGGGCTTTTCCTCTGCAATTCCTTCCTGACTTGAGATACTCATCCCTTGTATTTCACCCCTTTTGGCAGTTTCCAGACTTGACCACAGTCTTCTTTGCTCTACATGATGACTGTTTTAGGGCTGGCCTCAATCACACTCAATTTAGAATATACCCTTAGGGGAAAAGCCAGCTTTCTACAGAGATGAGCTTCAAGTAGGCCCTTTGGGTTCTCCCTTAGGTGTTACTCTCCAATCCCTTCAAACCATTTTGTTGGGTTTTATGATTACTTTTGATGGGAAAGTTAACCTGATATAAGTTATCTCAGGGCTGGCACTGGAAGTCTAGATTCATTATTTAAGAAAGTCATGGTTATTCCCACTAGAACTCTAAAACCATTCTCTATCTAGGGTCTTTTCTACTTTTAGGAGGAAGTGAAAAATATAAATCTTTCTCTCATAGAAAGATGGACACTTTTGGTTTCGGCTCTTTTAGCACTAGTTGATTTTAATTTAAACTCTGTATCACCTAGAATAATATTAAATTAGGTGAGACAAATGACAAATACAGAATAAATATGAGCTTTTTTAGAGACAAGAATCTTAAAATCACCACTAAAATGTATGCAGAAGAGTAATACATGATTTGGTAGAGAAGTTGAAGTACATGTAGAAATTACGGATATAACCTTAATACTGATGTATAGCACATAGGCTCCTAGTCCTGGCATTAATGAACTGAAGGATCTTGAGCAAGATATTTTCCTTCTCTGAGACTCAGTTTCCTCATCCACAATATAAGAATTTATGATAACTAGCTCACATGACTGTTAGGAAAATTAAGGACATTTAAGATTGTGAAAATACCTCACAAAGAGCCTAATAAGAATAGTATCTAATGAATTTTTGAATAATTTTATTCTAAGTTATTTTAACAGTTTATCTAGAGAAAAAACTTCCTCAGTCTGATAAAGGCAACTGATTAAAAAAAAGCTACAGCCAACATCATATTGATAATTAAAAAAAAAAAATTATAAAAACATTTTATGGAAATCCAGGAGACTATAAAATACAGGTGAAGACAGTCTTTTTAACCAAGACTGAAAACCCCAAAGTTATAAAAGACATATTTGAATATATAAAAAAATCAAAACTTAAGGCTGAAAAATTATTATAAAAACAACAAGTAGTAGAACAGGGGGAAAAAGTAACTCTATAACCTGTAAGGCTCTTTTATAAGCTAACTAGAAAAACACAACTCGATCAACACTTAGAAATAGACAGTTCACAAAAAACAATCTAGATGTCCAATAAACTTATGAAAAGGTGCTTGAATTCACTAAGCAGAAAATACGAATGAAAATAACAACAGTGACATTTCATAGCCATCATTCTCTTGAAAACTAAACAGAACATATACTTATAGACATTTTGGTATTCTCACATACTGCTGGTGGAAATATGATGAATTACAGCCCTTTTGAAAAATATGTGGGGAGTAACTACTAAACTCAAAAAAGAAAATATAGCCTTTGATCCAGCAATTCCATACTTGGGAAATCTATCCTACCAAAAAAAAAAAAAAAAA